GGGAGGAAATGTTTGAAACTTTTGCAGCCTTTCTCTCAGCTTTAGCATGAAGGCATTAGTCATTATTATTCTTATTCTAAATAATTAGTAGTATTTTAAATTGCGGGTCATATTTGTGAAAGGCTCGAGATAGGCAACTCTGGAATCTCCTGTTTTCCATGGAGCTGCTGAACAGACTGATTGTCCCACACTTCACTCCCAAATGTACCTTCTCACAGCCTGAGGGGGACTAAGATCATCTTTGAGCAGGAAAGCCTTTAAGTCTGGGCACTTCTAGAGCTCCTGCAAGTCACTTTGTGCTTCATACTACACACAGGAAGGAAGATGGTCTACATCCCAGGGAGCAGACCCATCCAAGGATGTTCTCTCAAAGAAAAGCCCAGTCTTCCCAAAGATTGCATGGGAAGTGCCCAGAACTGTGTGACGAATGATCTCCTCTGCACTGAGAGACTTAATGAGTGAACACTACAACAATGGATTGAAAAAAAAACCCCATCACAACTAACTGTGGAGCAGAGGTTAAAACCCCCATATCTTGTCCACAGTGAAGTCAGGTCCTGCAGCCACCCGTTCCATGGCTGGCTGTAAGAAGCAGCTGTGCTGTAAGGGTGTGTGTTTATTGCTCTTCCAGAAAAGTCTACCTAGGGAACTCCTGCATGGGAACAGAGACCTGTGTGGTGGCTGCTCATGCAGGACGGGTGGATATCTACTTGCCTCATCAAACTTCCACCTGACCCTCACAGAGATGATGCTTGTGTGTGCAACTCCCAGGCTGCTAAGCAAACTGTGAGCAGTGTATGATGAACCAAGGAAGAACGTAGAGAAAACTGACAACAACGGCCACTAGACACCTGCTGAAGATACACACATGAGGATGGTTAACCCTGTCCTCCAGAGCTCACAGCTTGTTTGTCTTCCTTGTCCTACCCATGGTTTTGTTAGTATTACAGCCTGGTTTCCTGATTTTCTTTTTAGCTGAGATATCTCTACCAAAAAAAGCTCAACAGCAACTGGATTTGAAAGGCAAGGCTCTGACAGCTGAACCAGACAGTTCAACTGGATCCTGGTGTCTGGCTGAACAACACTACGAATCAGTGTCCTTGAATCAGAAGTTTTACTGGGTCAGCCAAACTTGATTCCCCACTGTGACAGGACTCTCAGCCATAGTTCCTGGGGGAGGGGATGACTGCAAACTGAGATGGTGTCAAACTGCCTTTATGGATAGCTGGTATTGGCTCTGACCTGCCCGTTACCTGGCTCCCCTAATCAGCAGATCCAGATGAATGCTGTGATATTGAATTCTGCAGCTCCCTAATGCTCAGTTTGATCTCCAGTGCCTGTTTGGTTTGATTATCTTCACACCTTTCTGAGCTTCACAGGCAGGTTTTTGTTCAGAAACAACATCTGACTCATGGCCAGTGTTGTAAAAAAACCTCTTTTTAGATAATCCAGGTCAAGAGTGCACATGTAAGAGTTTATTATTTATTTCCCCTTCATTATCCCTTTGTTTAAAAAAGTGTCTCATCTAACCAGAGAGGGAGAAAAAATGCTACAAGTGAACTTGAGACACTGTAGAAAATTAATAGGAAAGACCTGAATCATAAAAGCCTGTAAACTAATTAGCGTTCATCAGACTACTCAGTAAATATTTAAGAATAAAAACCACACTTGCACAATTCAGGATCAGATTGTAAGAGAATTCTGATTCTTAAAAAGAGCTAAGTTTGCTCATCTGTCTATTTAAAACAAGCAGCCAGATCCAAACATATGCATTATTTGGAAGCAATTTATATTGTAATTGGAAAGGAGATGCAGAAAATTAATCAGGCTGGAAAGCTATTAAAGAACAACTCCTTTCTGCTCCTTTGTTATGTGCAAATCCACCTCAAAACCTAGTCACATACTAAAAATCCCAGAGCAAATGCTCATCCAAGGTTGTATGTTGAAACTATAAGTCTTTTTTTTTTTTTTTTTCATTTGATTTCTGGAACACCCATGGGTCCCAGTGGTTTTTTTTTTTTTCCATTTGGCCCCACAGAGCCAAATGCCAAGTGTCTGTGGAAGCCTGTCTGTGCAAGGCACGGCCCTGGCAGGGCTTCAGCCCCAAATTCTGGGCTCAGATGGCATCTGGTCACACAGGGGAAGTTGGAGGACTCTGTTCTTAGCCCAATCTTGAGTGCAAGGTGAGCTGAATAAGAATAATAATTAAAAAAAAAATAAAATAAAAAAAGAAGCATTGAAAAAGAAAACCCTGCAGGTTTTGTTTAGGCAGACCCTGGCTAGAAGATCCCTAGGACTGTTCATCATCACCGAGGACGTACGACACGGATTGAATCTCTCAGGGCTCGGATACGGAAAGAGCACAACAGTTCTGCTGCCCCAGCTGCACCATGCTGCCCAAAGTTTGTCAGGGGATAGCAGCAATTCAGGGAAGTGGCACCACACCTCCCTCAGCTGGTTGAGTTTTCTGCCTTGTCTCCTACTCACTCACTGCTCCCCAGGAGCTGGGATCCAGAGGGACTTCATCCCAGGCTTGACTCTTCCTGTGCACATAAGCATTCTTCTTCCACACCATCTTCAGGACACAGGCAGTCTGACCCTGGCATTATGTCCTCCACGTACCAGGACAAGGTGAATGCAGCTTTTGTCACTTGAGGACTTTTCACTATCCCCATGTCCCCACTGCTACCTAGAGGGGCTGAGTAAGGAACTGTCCCAGATGAAAGGAGAGCAGAAGGCACGTACGCTACCATCCGTTGGTGTCACAACAAGTGAGGGCTGATAGCATCTAAGAGCTGTAAGGCCATCTACAGTCTCTGTTTGCAGTTTGTTCACCAGCTTTCAGTATGGGCTTTGTTGGTATTAGGATTTTATTTCCCAAGTGAGACATGGTAAAGAAAGAAAATTCAGTCTTCATATACCAAACTGGTAACAGGTAGGAGACGAAGCCCTTGGGCCAACAGCTGCAGGATTATCAGCTTTGTCCAATGACATACACCCAGTTTAAGCCTTCCCCAACCATGCTCGTGGTGGTAGTTAGGTATTACCAGCCACATTTTTCTGATGGGGGAACATGCCTCTTGGCTGGTGCAAAGGGCTACAATGGCAGTAGTGGGGAACAGAGCTCAGCCTGGTGCTGTACCCCCCCAGCACCCTCTTCCCCTGGCACCCCTGTCGAGGATGAAATAGGAGAGGGTGCACAAGCCTTCTGCAGCCCACACTGTGCCAGGTGATGTCTCGGAGCGATAGGAAGGGCTGGGTTTACACAGCACCTGCAGCCCTCTCAGGAGGACGAAGGTGTGTGTCTCAGCTTGTCTCAGGCTCACTGAAATACATCTGTTCTCTGGCTAAGAGCTCTTCCTCTGCTTCTCACCCACATTTCTTGGAATCGGGTGAAATGCCACATGTCATTGAAGAAGGCCTGTGAAAACCTCCCAGAGCAAGCACATCTTCATCCAGAGCGTGCCCAAATGACCAATCAGATTCCTGTAGATTTAGGTGGCTTTATGCCAGGCCATGAGAATAGAACTGGAGGTAATAGCCCTACCTATGCACAGTGGCTTTCACCTCTACAATATCATAGATTTAGTTCATAGCTGATACAGAGAGAGAAAATGACTCAAAATTCTCATGTATTACTGTCTTTCTAAAATATTGCATCTTCCACAAGATCTTAATGCCATCATCTGACATGAGAGAGTGGCTGAAGCTCTCCCTGAGCACCACCAGTACAGGAGAAAGGACTTTCTGGACCACACCGATTTGGAAGGGAAAAGAGGAACAACTTCTTGGTGATGTCACAGCACACTTACACAGCTTCACTAGGTGTCTACTGATGGCCAGCAAAACTGCTGGCTTTTGGTTACGTACATGGCTGACCTTCAGATGTTCCCAGTGACCCAAAGGTGTAAAGCCATGGACATACTCCAGGCAACACTGTAAAGAGTGTGGTGAAGCAGCATGTTTTACAGGACACGATGAGCTATAGAGATCCTGCCTGCACTTGGGGGGACAAAGGTTTTCCCATGCCTGCTGAAGGGAAGTGACTGTATTTTTGATCTGGTGTTCTGAACAGGTAGTGGCACACTTGAGAAAAGCATGATTCTGGTGCCTGAGGCACTGCTACTGATCCTGACTGATCCTGTTGATACCAGTGGGAAAAATGTTTTCATCAATGCTTTAAGGATCCTGGACAAAGAATGGGAACCAAAAGTGGGAGGTATTATTTCATAACTGACATTTTATTCAATTAAGTTGAGGACCTAATTGAGGGGATGAGTCATGGTGTGTTTGGCATGACACATGGAAGTACTCTAAGTTCAGACACAACCTGTAGGTTCTGATCCTGCTCAAAATCAGCTCAGCTCCCACTCTGAACCTCCACAGCTCAGCTCTACAAAGCTGTCATGAATCTCATGGTCAGCACAAACCAGACGATTGAATTTCCCTCTTGCTACCTGCTTGCTATGATCAGCTGTGGAAAGGCCTTGGACTTGTGACTGCAGCATGCAGAACACGCTGAGTTTTGCTCTTACTTCAGCAGCTGCAGGTTTCAAGTCCTTCAAAAACGAATGGTCTTTTCCCTTCCTGGTCACCTCTCACTCAGTTTTGTTCTTGCTGTCATTAGAAATGGCACAAAAACTAGTGAAGGAAAAGGGCTTAAAATAGGGTTCACTTTCTAGCTAAACAGTTTTTGATGAGCTAGTGACATAAATAAGTGCAAATCTCAGCTGTGCTGGTCCCATGACATCACAAACCTTAGGCAGAGCAAGCAGCATTCTTGGATGCATCAAAACCTTGTCTTTTAGCATTTAATGCGAGACATTACAAACTAATGAAGAGGAGAAATGTATGCAGTGTTGCTGTAAACCCAATATACAGATGTAAAACAATTCAGAATAAACTGTTCCATAAAAATGCATGTCAATAAAACCCAGTCTGATAAAGTGATTTATGAATAATTTTCTAGAATTACTAAAAAGAATGATTTCTTGTCTGAGGCTTTGGAAGTCTTGAGTCACATTTTTTTTTTTTTTCTTTTAAAAAAATGTCTTAAAACACATGGCTTTACAGCTGCTGCTTGGAAAATATACACCTCCAAAGTCTGACTTTCATTTAAATACAAATGTACAAAATGTAAACTGAGACAATAGAGAAATTTACAAAACTTTTCTTTAAAAATAATAAAGACAAAATTCAGTTCTAGTATGATGCTATTTAAATACGTGCAAGTAGTCATGTTCATTGAATTTCTATTGCAATGTTCTAAATAGACAAATTTGATTCACACAGTCTTGAGTGCCACCTCCAAAAACAGACCTGAGTGGAAAATTCTTCTTAAAATGCGAGGCTCCACTGGAAGGAATGGATAAAAAAATCTCCATTCTGGGGAGATCTTTTCTTTTTTTCACTCAGTGGTGGAGGCTCTCTCATCCATAGAAGCTCCATAGATACAGTGGAAGGATGCAACATGTTGTTTCATAAAACTGAGCTGGAACTAGCTGCTTCCAGTGGAGTTTGAACTTACGTGGTTTGAATTTATGTGGTGATTTAAACTGGTCTTTGAATTTGGAGAACTCTTTGAATTGTTCTGATGCTGTAGAAAGAGGAAGACAATGACAATTAGATTCCCAAAATATGCCATGCTTTCTTTTAGTCCAACATTGTTCATTTTATGGTGGTATCGTACTGACTGGATTGCAAGATTTTTGTGTGAAGATCTTTGGATGTAAAATATTCTTCACTTTCTTACCTTTAGTCTCTCTAGGTCAGGAGGATCATGGCAGCTCTTGAGGAATGCAGCAAAGAAGACTCACTCAAGCTCCACTGCAAAATGTCAGTATCTGCTAAATCTGACATTCAGGGGACAGCTGCCAGTGCTGGGGCATGGTTCTAACCCCACAGAAACAGATCAGTCTAAGAATGTTATTTAGATTTACAAGTGGTGCCATGGTGCCTCACGAAAGCTGTACATCACTTATTATCTGGTCCCCTCTCTTCTCCAGTGTCTTGGTTTCCTGCCATGACCACCTCACTCAAAATTTGCCTCCTTTTTTTTTTAAACACATAAATCAAAGACTTTCACAAGGAACTTATTAAAACCATATAACCACTTCAAAAGGCATTTCAGCATACCACTAAAAAATAGGTTGAGTAAGAAGTGAAAACTGATGGAAACAAAGCTCATGAATAACACTGGAACATCTGGTGGTTAAAAAATGACAAGGGGTAGATGGAAAACCTGAGATATGAAGTATGAGTCAGGAAATTACCAGGTAACTGTGACAGCCAGTCCCCTCTAAGACACACTGTCTTTCTCCAAGCAAGAATACCACCAGAACCTGGCTATGACACTGGGCATCTACGAGAGTTTCCTTGCCTTAGTCATAAAAGATCTCACCTGTCGTTTAAATATCCTCTGCAGCAATCCTTTCTTGGGTGGCTCTGGGGGGTAGCTTTTGTTTAGGTCTGGTGAAACAGTACCATTTGGTCCAAATACATTCAGCTCTTTGAAACACTCTGTTTCTATCATCTAGTGGAATACAATAAGAAAGAAAAAAAAAATTATACATCTTCATTAAATATATTCCGAGGTTGTTCAAAGTCAGGGTCAGGATCAGCAGCTTGAGCAATGTATTAGGGGAGTTAACAGCTGAATTCCTGC